AGGGTGACATAACGATTTTGAGGAAATCTGACCTCTGAGTAACTGGATCTTTTTTTATTACATAATGCATATTTTGTACAAAGCATAGTTTGCTTTTCTCCATACAAATACCTTGTAATTATAATAGCTTACAGAGCTTTATTAAATCACATCTTGATAAAAGCCACAGCGCAAACTGTAACATTGGTAATATTCACCATTTCAGTTGTCACTAGAATACAATCTTTACATAGGCACAATTAGAAATGCAGACAAAATAGTACCTTAGTTTCACAGTGAACTGGACACTGGTTTTTAGGACCATGGGCCTCTGCGGGTGGGTAGGCATGCATGGTTGCCTTTCAACCACAAACGAGCTGCAGAGGAAAAACAACAACTTGAGTAGATACAGAGTAACAAAGGAAATGTAGAATATCTAGTTCTCTGCCTAGATGAGTCACCAGATATATGTCTATTTCTATGACTAGATGAGTCGCCAGATATATGTCTACATACTTGTACTATGTGTGTCCTGGCTTACTTTATCTAGTAACAGAATAAAAATCTTAGAACTAAAATTTAAAAAAAAAAATACTGTAGCTTAGATACATATTTTTATATATGACTAGGACATTGCCTCCTGACCTGATAATGGCAAAGCAGACGACTTTATACTTTTGCTGCCAGAGCTGTTTTTGCCATTCTTTTGCACGCATGTTAAAACATACATTTTAGAATGATATCTTTTCTGAAAGCAGAGACCCTGGAGAATAAAATGGTTGCAATTTTTACATCACATGATATTTGTGCAATTGTTTATTAAGTAAAAAATGCATTCAAATTAATTTTATGGCACACAAATACAATATATTACCCAATTTAAGGTGAAATATAAAAGATTATGTTGCATCGAGTAAACAAATACCAAACATGTCAAGCCTTATAATTGCGTGCGCTGTGAAATGGCGAAAAATTTCTGGTGGCAGGGAGCTTTAAAAATAGCTTTGGAGTGTTATATTAATTATTTCAGTTATCTGATAGCATATTATAAGCGACAGATTCTCTTTAATGAGACATTAGCAGTCTATTAGACCCCTGATTTCACTTTTGTACTCTACTGAAGCTGATCAAGCATCATATTTGACCTGCTTCTTCACCGGCTTGTGTGGGCTTAACACAGTCTCGGCTGCTATAGCAACTGGGAGTGTGTTTAAAAGCCCATGCTGCCACCGACATAAGCCCTACAGTGGCAGCGAAAGGGTTAAATCAACAATATTTTGTCAGATGAAAAGACAAGGAAAAATGTCATGAATTTGATACATTTTGGAGCTAAACTACAATCAAAATTAAAAGCGCACAGACAGAGGCTATCTGCTTAGGACTTTTGCCTTTCATTTAAATGCTGCTAAAAGGTTGCAAGGTTTCTTCAACACACTCCCAATGCCCTCTGCAAATAATGCTGAACCCACCCAAGCTAACTGCGGGCAGCTACAGATGGAATGCTGCACTTGAAAGGGGACTGCTGACAATAGAAGATGAAGTAAACTGAGCAGCAAGCCACCAATTATTCTTACTTAGTTGCCCTTTAACATCATAATATCAGAAAAATAAGAAATATAAGCAGAAAACTTTCAGTGATACTGTGCTGCTCCTTTATCAGGCTGTAACTGAACTGACACATTGTAAACTATCTCCAAAGTTACTACATTTTACCAATGTACAGTATAAGGATTAATAACAGATAGATAGTGACTAGGGATGAGCTTCAGGTTCGGGTTGACCATGAAAAAGCCTTTTGCAGTTTGCTGATTAGGCAAACTATTTGGCAAATACGCCTGCCTGCTGAACTTCCGGCTATGTCCTAGCAACAGCCCGTACAGCATAATTGACTTCTCTTAATTTTGCTGTTGGAGAGTTTCCCCTTAATACCCATCTGGTAAAACGTAATCAGCGGGAAAGGAAGTGACGAGGAATCTCTGTAATTATGCCAAGGATAGCAATAAAAACCTTACAGGACTTCTAATCCTTCCTACTCTAAAACGAAGAAAAACAAATTGGCTTGACATATACTTTCAGTATGCTAAAAATCAGATAAATGCATCATATTTAAGGAGCAATAAAATTAAACCTAACTTAAAGCAAAAAATCACCTTTGCATCAGTTGTTTAAATAAAATCTGTGTACGCTCTTGCAAGGCTTGCTTGTTGTTGGTAATGGGATCACAGTCATATGTAAGTTTCTGCTCTAACTCCTCCAGTTTCTTTAACTGTTGACGGATTTGCTGTAGACTTTTAGCAATGGATGTGAACCTAAAGAATAGGATAACAGAGAATAATTCCTTAGTAGCAACATTTAGAAAAAGCATCTGCATATCTTATGTGACCATACTCCAGCATCAAAGGCATCCTTTCATATTTTGACAATCAATAAAATTATAGTTAAAAATCTGATTGCCTGAAACATACACGATACAAAATTAAAAGCAGCATTTACCTTATTCAATCATATTAAACGGCTGTATTCATTCCTCCCAGGTCACTCATAATATGCTTACCAGGTTTGCAGTTGGTCAAGACAAGCATTAGGTGGACCCCCAATACAAGCTATTTGCTGTCTGCGCTTCCATTCAACCAATTCTTCATTTATAAGGGAACTCTGTGTATGTTCTATAATATTTAGCAGTTCACCTATTTTTTGAACAATTTCCTAACAGAAAGAAAAAAAATTATAATTTATTTATACAAAGATCACATAATTACACAGAACAAACAAATCGAGAAAACATTCACTGAGCTTAGTAAATAATAGTTGAATTTATGTTAGTGGAATCTATGTTCATTTTAATCAACCTGCTGCCAAAAATCCTGTTTGCCTAATTCCCTTTGCACGTGATTGGGTATTAAGAGTAAAAAAAGGTGTCCCTTTATTTATTACAGGTATTTATATAGTGCTGACAATTTATGCAGCACTTTACATAGTTCCACATTCACATCAGTCCCTACCCTCAAGGAGCTTACAGTCTAAGGTTCCTATCTCACATGTATACAAAGAGGGCCAATTTAGAGAGGAGCCAATTAACCTACCAGCATGTCCTTGGAGTGTGGGAGGAAAGCGGAGCACCCTGATGAAACCGACGCAAGCACAGGGAGAACATGCAAACTCCTTGCAGATAGTGACCTGGCCGGGATTCGAACGATAATCCCAGTCCTGAAAGGCAGAAGCACTAACCACTATGCCAGTGTGCTGTCCTATTTATCAAAATTTACTTTGCTAAATCTACTCCTTTACTAACTCGACCCCAAATATCTATATTATGTGTCAACATTAATGCATGGCTTTTTGGACAATTTATAAGTGTATAGAGGAACACACAGGTTGAGCAAGAACAGAATTAGGGTGAATGATTAGGCACAAAAACAAAAAGAGACAGGCAACCCTTGTCTGCGCACTAACGTCCCATCAATTTGAAGGGGACGTTGCACAGTACGAGTACTTCCCATTTAAGTCTATTTGACATCACTACACAGGTTTATACCAGCTAGGCTGTAGACAATGTGGAATGCCACAGCTGGAAGAGATAAGTAAGAACACTCAGAGGGTGGGGTGGGTGTCCATAACTTGCCCTTTAAAGCACAGCTGGAGCACATGTTGCTCTCAATTCTGGGCATTTTCTCTCTAAAGGTGGCCATACACCTTACAACCATCGCACGATTTTCATTGTGTGATGGTTGCAAAGTGATTACAATTTCGTACGGCCTGCCCATCATGGACAGGCAGATCGTACTTGCGCTCATCACAAGTCCTCCCAGCTGAGGGAAGGGCTTGCAGATGATTGCATTGGTGAGTGGGCAGTGTGCGCTTTTGGGCACCTCGGGTCATGCAACTTTCGTCTTGCGGCGAAAATTGTTAGCTTTTCGGCGGGTTTTCTAGCGTGCTCGTTATATGAAAATCGTAGACCCGTACAGTAGATGTGGTCGCACGCTGCCCATCTACCTTATGATTATCGTACGATCGCGGGATCACCCGCGATTATCGTACGATAATCGTCAGGTGTGTGGGCACCTTAACACTGGACAATGACCCAGCTGCAGTGTGCACACACAGGCAAAACTAAAGCCATTAAGGAACACATTTATAGAAGTCAGCTTTTACCCAGCACATGAAAAGTCTACTAAAAACATATATAATTAGTAGTACCTTATACATATAAAATTTATATGAAAACACTGAACATGTTCATACCTTTCTCCGAAGGCTCACGGTAATGTGCATATTTCTTAAAACCAATTTTTCCTGCTTCAGTTCATTTTGTGCAATTCCGTTATGCTCATTTTCTGCAAAGTAATATCAAAACACCACTTAACAGATTACAAAGAATGTTGCGTGTGTGAACATGATTAGGCACTTATATACTGGTTTGTATTGGTGAAGGAACTGGGAAACCAGACTTCATTACAGGTCTGCTGCAGGGTAAAAGCTGTTATTTTGGGCTGTACACATAATGGTCCACTTACACATAATGTTCCACTTTCTCTTCCACGATGTACCATTATGTTTATGCTTTTTTTATGCTGTTTATGTCTCTACAGGGGAGGTTTTTCATCACATACTGATTTGTCAGACAACCGTCAAACATACTGAAAGCGAGGGGAAATCTTCCCAATGGGGAAACACTGATTAAAACTTTGACTGAGAGAAGGTTGGGCAGTTGGTCACCATTAATAACAGGTAATGACAGGTCACATTAAAACTTTTATTATAGGAAAAATCAGTATACATAGGGGTTGATTTACCAAAGGTAAACAGGCTGTTAATTTTGCAAGGAAATCTTCCATTAGCTTAGGGAATAAACAAACAATATTTTTGTTTGCACATGATTTGATGATGGGAGTCTCACCTCATTCTCTAAGCTACGGGATATTCTCTTGCAAAGTGCAAATTCCCTTGCAGAGTGAACAGCCTATTTGCATTTAGTGAATCAACCCCAAAGAGTTTAAGGAGCAGGGTTCTAAAGCCAGCCACTCGTAAAAGATCGTCAGAATTTCAGCCATGAGCACTTTTATATACATATACTATAAGGAGCAATTTAATAAAAAGTAACTTTCATTCAGGTTTACTAACTAGACTTCTGGTTATGGTTGGCATGCCAACAAGACATCTCAGTAACGCCAAACACATATTTTTTACTGTTGTTTTAACTCGGTTAAAATTGTCATCTGAATTGAAAAACTCAGCAAAGGGCAGCTTTACTTGTTTAATAAATAAGAAACAGATTGTATCTAGTTCCTTAACATTAATGATTATACAGACAGGACTTTCCAAGTTCTCACCTCTGCTTTGAATGGTTTTATATTTGAAATCGTATTCATCTTGTAAGTCCTCCAGATTTTTGACTTCTTGTTCCAGTTCCTATAAAAGATAGAAATCCCATCTGTAAAACATGTCATCTGAAAAATTCAGATTCCTGCAGATAATTTTTTATTTATAACTGGCACTAATAGTTAGGAAATAACAACTGGAAGGATAGAACCAGCACGGTGCCAGTAGTAGATATTGCCGACACAAATAGGAAAAATTAGATTAAAAATGGATCAATTCATTTTGTAAAGTGAATGAAAAAGATAAAGGGGAAACGTTCTATATAAAAATCTGTTACGCATCGAGTAGTTGCGATCCCACTTTATCTATTTTATTTTTCTTCTTCAAGTATGAGTCAGATTAGTCTAATAAAATATTACGTTATTTGCATATAGAGTCACGTGAAAAAGTAAGTACACCCCATGGAAATTGTTATTTTCAACATATTTGAACAGTCATTTATCCAACGAAAATATAAATAGATGTAATGCTTTACTTAGGAAAAAAGTATATACACCCTTGGCATCAAAAGCTGGTTACCCTCTGTAGCAGAATGACTTTGTGTAGATCTTATGTCTGCTTGTTCAAATGTTGAAAAAGTTAATAATTTCCATGGGGTGTACTTACTTCTTCACAGAAATGTATGCTTAAATCCCAGTAAAGCCCACTACCTAACTTCTGGTGCCATTACTCACCTACTCCCAGTGGACAGGCAATGGCTGCTGTGGTTGTTTAGGTTAGGCCTCAAATTATATTGTAACTGATTCTGGACCCTACATGAGCATATATACAACTTACCAGAGCTCTGTTCTTTACTTCTGTGACCTTTTTATCAAGCTCTCTGTGCTTATCAATCATAACTGTATTTTGTGTATTGCCAACCTGATTCTGAAAAAAAGTAAAATAGAAAAATAGTTAGCAAAATAACCAACGAATTAGGCAAAACAAATAAAGATGGAACTAAAAGAAACAATAAGGCTGATTTACTAACTGAGTTGAGAATATTCACTTCAATTAGTCAATCATGTGAAAAGTAAAAAGATATTTTATCTGCACATGATTTGATCAATGAACATTCTCAATTCCTTTACTAAATTGGCTTCAATTTATTGTGTGAAGATTCTGAACACCTTTGGTAAATCAGCCTCTTTTTCTCTAGCAAAAAAAAAGCCCTGCACAGCTTCAAAAAGCCTGCAGACACAATAAATGTTGAGCCAATATGACAAAGTTTCCGCGCTTCCTAATAGTGCCAAAGCTTGCCGAACCCTTCCTACCTTCAGTACATTCCTATTGGCCATTGGAGCAGCCCTTTAAAATAATGGGCCAATGGAAATGTGAGGGGGCAGGGCTTCAAGGCAAGCGCCAACAGTAATTGGATGTGTGAGAGGTTTCCCAATTCAGCTGTATCCACAGGCTTTTTTAAGATTCCTCAGGTATGTGCAAGTGCCTGCACTGTATACTAGCAACAGATTTATTTTTATGCATTGTCTATAATACTGAGATTTTGATACGTAAAAAAAGAAACCAAAAGTACCAAAGTTCAAGCAAACAAGTCAATAAAGGTGAAAGGTAGAAATCTTCTCAGAGAAGTGACCTCTTCTTTAGGCCCCACATGCAATCACTAACCAAATCTTGAAGTCTTCCCTTCTCAACAAATTACATCACAAAGCTAATAATTACCTCCTATCTTCTCTCGCCTTGACTATTGCAACGTTCTTCCCATTGGCCTACTATTCTGATCTCCCTTACATCCACCATGAATACTGCTGCCAGATTCATCCATCTCACCAACCATTCAGTGGCCACCACCCCTCTCTCCCAATCCCTCCAATGGTTTCCAATAGCCCAACGTAAACATTTCAAAATACTGACAACAACATACAAAGCCATTCACAGCTCTGCCCCAGCTACATTAGCTACATCACCAACCTCAAAATATCACCCAAACTTCTCTCTCTGTTCCTCCAAAGACCTCCTGCTCTCTAGTCTGCTCGTCACCGCCTCCCATGTTCACCTTCAGGACCTTCCAGAGCCATCCAATCATCTCAAACTCCCTACCAAAACCTACTCTGTCCGATCCCTGAAAATTTACCTCTTTAACCTCCCTGGCGGTATTCCCGAGTCTGGCTCAGGGTGAATTTTCCATACCAGGAGCGGTAACCCCAAGCCAGACTCGGGGCTGCAGAGAAAAGTGACACTTACCTTGTCCCTGCGAGCCCGCGGCGTCCTCTGCTGTACGCGGCCCGAAAATGAAAATAAAAGTCAGATGCCGGCATCTAACTTTTAGTTTCGCTTTCGGGCGTCACAGCCGGCAGGAAATTCAAAGGTGAAAAGTTGCAATATACACAGAATACACACAATACAATGTAATCTGCTATGATTACACTTATGTATCAAACTATTTCACTTCAATTTTGTCCCTAGAGCTTTGTCCAGTGCCCTGCCTGACACTTTTTCACAATTTTAAGAAATTATAATATAATATTTTTATAATTTATTATATTATAATTTTTTAATTTCGTGTTTCAAACTTTATCATACCTGGGATGTCTACTGGACTCTTGTTTGGACAGATTTAGGTGAGTTATTCCTAAGATTTACTAAGAATTGCAAGCCTCCAATAGATAACACCAAATTTCCATGCAAAAAATTGTACCGCTTTTGGTACAAAATTCCTGACATAATCATACCGCCAGGGAGGTTAAGGAAGCCTCTACTGCTTCAATCAGCTCATCCCTTACAGTTTTTCCCCTCAGTATCACTTGCCCCCTCCTTGTAGATTGTAAACTCTTACCTTCTAATCCATTCGTATTGAAATTATATTCTGTTATATATTCCCATATTTTGTAAAGCGCTGCATAAACTGTTGATGCTCTATAAAACCTGTATAATAATAATAATAATAAAGTATAGTAGGCTCTGGCAGGTTCTGGTTAGTTTGGCATCACCATAGAGAGCCCCAAGTAAGCCTCCAGTATGCCACCTATTAAATAGAAGAATTGTAGTCTTACCCAACTTTAATAAAAAGAAACATTTTTATTTCTGTCTGTGTAGCTGTTGAAGCTTTATTCTCACTTTTTGTCAGAGACAGTAAGTGAGGGGAAATTTATGCTAGAGCCCCATATAGTAAGAAAACCTGACAGGTATTCTAACCCTAATAACAAGTTTTGAATGGACATATACTTTAAGGATGAAAAAACTGTAACCTAGTTAAAGTAACATAGGAAAATTAAAGCTATATATAAAATGTGTTAAGAAGGAAGGTATTTAGAGAGACCCTGATTTTAAAACAAAAACCTCCAAGAGGACAAACTTTTCCCACTGTACACACTGCTAGAATGCCGCTCCATTCATGAGAAAATTTTCATGGGAAGTCTGCAGGGAATTTGACACTTCCAGGGGTGTCATTTTTCTGAGTTCTCAGCACTAATGATTCCTCAAGCAACCTCCACGTTTCTACTGTGATTTGTAGTGATGCAGAGGCCAGCAGGAGGAACCAGTGAGAGTGAGAAAAAGGAATACCCATTATTATTAAAACTAGGGATGAACCGATATATTGGCCGCCGAAACATATCGGCCGAAAATGGCACTTTTGGCATAATGCCAAAAGTGCCATTTTCCTGCCGATACACCGGCGCATCCCTGCTTTCTTTCCTCCTCGCTGGGCGCTGCTCTGTGTCCCAGAGGGGAGGAGAGAAAGTGTGACAGCCGGCCGAGCGCTGCGAGAAGAGAGCGCAGTGAGCGGCCGGCGTCTCTCCTCCCACACCGCTCAGCCTCCTATCACAGTCCAGCAGAGCAGTGTGTGGGCGGAGACAGGCCGCGCTGTCACAGGAGGCTGAGGTTTCCTCCCTGCACCGCCGAGCCTCCTGTGACAGCGTGCGAGGAAGGAGAGCAAGGTACAAACACTCAGCGATCAGTGATCGCTGAGTGTTTTTTGTACATAATTGCAGACATGGTATGTGTACTATATCAAGTATGAATGAATGGGAAGTGATCTACATCACCTCCTGTTCATTCATAGTTGTAGTTATAGTAAACATACAATGTTCTCATGTTATGAATAAACTGAAAAAAAAAATAAATATTTAAAAAAATTAAAATAAAAAACATTTTCAGTATCGGTTTCGGCCTGACAATTTTTTTTTATTTCGGTTTCGTTTCTAAAATTTCCATTTTGGTGCACCTCTAATTAAAACCCATTTTCACATTTGAATGAAATTTTCTATCTCACATGTTTTTGGAAGCAGCATTATCCCATTTTGCCATATCTATACTCACGTTTGAAATTTTAAACTATTCAATGTGAAATCAACAATAGCATCCATAAACATGAAAATGTAGGTAGGTGATGTAACCCACTGGCATCTGCCACACATAATGTACATCAGTTGTGTATGAACTAATCTCATTACATAATTCCATATTACTGAAAACCGATCAGGGATAGAATAGTGACAGTCAATATGATGTCATATTAATAGTGTTAAAGAAGATTGTGGCCACCAATCTGTTCCGCTAGCAGAGCATTTTGCTTGTGTTCCACAGTAAAAAACCAACTGATGTCTAAGATTGCAGTTATACAATCATCAAAATCCTTAATTTAATTTTTTTTTTTTATATGAATTTTTCTATTTCAGCTAACTAATACCTGAGAAAATGAACGTGCATTGGCCAGTATTTTAGTTTCTTCTCTTAAACAGTTGTAGATGATCATTGCCATTTGTACTGGGTCTTCTTGGAAGTTATCCTGGGAAGAACAATTGCAAATAGTATTTACACTTAGATACTTGTTCATTTATTTATCAATGACTTAATTAATATAAAGTAAAACTTGCATACACATCCATTTATGGTAGCCATGACTAAAAATGTAAAATGCTTAAAGATACTTTCTGGGGTTTTTTTCGCCAGGTTAATATGAAATATTGTAATAGAATAGTTCACAATTTTACAGAGCACCTTTAAGGGGGTGAGGGAGAGAGAGAGAGAGAGAGAGAGAGAAAGAGAGAGTAGCTTCTGGAGTGCTCTCTTTAGAAAGGACACATAACACCCTTTAAATTTTGGCATGGATGCACCCTGTATTAACAGGTCAGCTGCAATGCAAGCTTTAGGAATTTGTCAGCCATCCTTCTCATTCCTACTGCAAATCTCTGTAATTGTTCCCTTCTACTTGCCAAACCTTGATAAGGCAAAATAAATATACGTCAAACTAAAGTGTCCAGCTCAAACTCAGGTGTTAAATTGAGGTATCAATTTTCAGTCAATGGTCAGGCTCAGACATAAAATTCAAATTAAGTAATCTCAAGTGTCATACTCAGATATCAGATCCATGGGTTTTTAAAAGCATTAAGCTGGCCATCGACCTATGGATTATCTGCAGATTTTCTATGGTCAGATGGAAAAAGTACAGATTCCTCCATCTACACTAAACTGTGTGGATGGAGAAATCTCTCACTTGGCTAAGCTTCAGTATCGTGCTAGTAGGCCCCGCTGGCATGCAAAACATCTGAACAATTTGATTGGATGCAGGCATTGTTCAGGTATTTTGAGAGCCTTTGGGGCTGACTAGCAAAATACTGAAGCTTGGCCCAGAAGGCCAAAACAAAAGAAGTGTTGATTGCATAGGTATTCAGCTCTTTTGCTGTGAAACCTATCAATACACTGGAGCAATCAGCTGCCATTCACAGCATTTGATGAACTGAACCCACCTATGTGAAATGATATGGCACACAACCCCAAAATAAATACAGGTTTTTAAAAAAAAATCCAGAGTGTGTTAAAGAACGTATCTATACAGCATAACGAAGGCCAAGGGGCATCAAGACATATCCGGGACAAGGATTTGGAGAAGATTATGAAAAAAAGTCTCAAGGTTTAAAACATGTCAGATGAAGAAAATTAGAAATAGGGCACAGTCGCAATACTGCCATGAGAAGGCCACCAGTGACTGTGTGAGCAGGACATTAGGCAAAAATTAAACCAACAGGTCATAGTAAGTCTGAGGGCTGATATACAGCAGAACACGCAACACATCCGTTGTTGCATGTTGCTGTGCGTTTTGGCACTCTGTGTTAAACAGCCCATTCCAAATAATGGGATGAATGCATCTCAATGCACAAGAACACACACATTAAATCCAGTTCAAAGTTTACCAAAACAGAAGTAACAGAAGTAAGAAATATGTCTAGTGAAAGGCTTTCTGGTCTGATGAGATCAAAACTGTACTTTTGATAAAATTAAAAAAAAATAACAGTCACTTATAAAGCCATCCAAAACTCCGCCCCCGGATATATCTCAGACCTTGGGGGTGATTTACTAACCTAAACACACACACACACCAGGTGTGTGTGATTTTCACACAGCAAAACGTATTTATCAACCAAAAAGTCTCTAAAAGCATATTTCCACTAATGCCATATATGGAAAAATCATGCACATGATGCATATATAATGCTGCTTCACAGTTTAGACAAAAATGGTTAGCTCATGCATTTACATTCCTTGCATTCATGAACGCAAGCAACACAACATAGAGCTAATTTACCCAACATCCCCTTGGAATTCATTTAGGGCTTTGCACAACACACCTGCTGGGTGTGTACACATTACAAAGGTGTTTAGATTCCACCCATAGATCATGCTGGGAGGGAACACATTGCAGAGGTGTATACACATTCGTGGTGTGTTTATAAGGTTAGTAAATCAACCCCCTTGTCTCAAAGTATCACTCTAACCGTCCCCTCCGCTCATCCATTGACCTCCTGCTTTCCAGCTCACTCATCAACTCCTCCCATGCTCGCCTCCAGGACTTCACTAGAGTCTCTCCCATCCTCTGGAACTCTTTACCCCAACCTGTCTGTCTATCTCCCTCCTTGACTGCCTTTAGGCGTTCCCTAAAGACTCATCTTTTCAAGGAAGCCTATCCCACCTCGACCTAACCACTGAACCCTTACATTCTCAAATAATTCATCCCCACACAGCTACCTCCTCATGTATCACTTCCACCTCGATTTTAGATTATAAGCCCTCACGGGCAGGGCCCTCCTTACCATCTTGTCTTGAATTGTATTGTAATTGTAATGTCTTCCTTATATTGTAAAGCGCTGCGCAAACTGTTGGCGCTATATAAATACTATGTAATAATAATAATAATACTTTTTGACCTAATGCAAAATTATATGTGTGGCCACAAGTTCTGGACCCCTGCATTTCCTAGTCCTGATTTTCATATTTGAACATAAGAACATGCAAGTATGGAGCTGCTTGGCAGGGCTAGAAAGGTTGTGTGTATACTTGCTAAAGTATTATTCCTGCATTATCTGTGGCTGAAACAGGCTGCTTAGGTTTCCCCTTTTATTTTTGGAACAACCGTGTACTAAATTAAAGCGATGTAAAGAAAATACCTTTTTGTTTCAGATAGAATGTGGAAGCAGTATTATCTCTGTTAGTTTTTCTTGCTGTCTGTGCCTTTATTAGGAGATTGCTCTCACTACTAGTCCTGGTGACCACTGCCTCTGGTTCAGAAAGTAATGGGAAATCCAAAACGTTTGAGTTGTTACAGGAACAGGCAGTGAGGCTAAAGTATATCTTCCAGTGAGGAAACTTATCCTGCACATCCCCTTTCTGTTGAGAGATATCCTTTTATTTCCTGTTGTGTCTCTGGGAAGTGGGATATTCTTCCCACCAGGGACACAGACAGCAAAAAATCTGATAGGATCATAACCATTCCCAACTCTATCCAAAACTAAAGAAAAGCTTTGGTTTTACACATATCACATGCAACATGCACAATACAATGCAACAGTAAATACATAAAGTACCTGTAGATTACGCTTGCTTTTCCGTATATTATGTTGTAATAAGAAATTGCACTCCAAGGAAAATCTGCTGTACTGGTCATCAAGCTGGGATAGAAGTCCATGGAAGAGAATTGTAGCTAAAGAGACATTGGTGGCAGCATGTTCCCTAAAATAGATTCTGGGCATGAGTCTTTCGATTTTATTGGGTAATGAAGTAAACAGTCTCCTCTGTTAGCCAACTAAAAACATTTACATATTACATATTTTGTACTCTCATTAACTGCACCTACAAGCCTGCATGTAATAAAATCCTGATATGTCCGGATATACAGCAATAGTATTTTTTTCTAAAATGAATATTTACATGTCTTTTTTGTAGAATACCTATCTATTTCCTGCAGAAACATCATCAGTATATTTTTTTACAGTCAAAAAGCGGAATAAAAGCCCAATTGCAGACAAAAACAGATATTTTAAATGAGTAATTGAGTTCTGCAGCGATATAAGTAGACAGGTATTTGAAAATATTTCACAGGATCTATATATAAAAAACATTCACATAGCTATTCGTGCATGTACATTCGTTCTGTGTGAACTATCCAGATGTTGCAAGAATTCTGAAAATTAAATGTTCTTAGGCTATAATTTTCTCTGTGGTGCAATGTTCTTATGCTACATAATCCTCCAGTGTCAGAGTCTGTCTCAGCAATGGTTAAAAATAGAGGTGCACCAAAAATTTAAAAAATGTCAGGCTGAAACTGATTTTTTTTTTGTTTCCTAACCTTTTAAAAAAAATTTATATATTTTATTTTTTTTCTAAACTTTTACTTTTTTTATATTTCATTTATTACAATTTTTTTATTTTTTAACTTGACTGTAGGGGGCTTTGGTGAAATATCAGGAATTTAAATTGAGTGTCCTCAATCTCTTTTTCTGCATCCCCAGCACTGAGTGAACAGGAATCCTCTATACTCAGGGGTGTGGAAATTTTAAACACTGCGCGTTTATTCGCGTGGGGCTGGTTTTATTTTTTCTGTTTTTATTTACTTTTTAAAAAATGTTCATGTTCAATGTTTTATTATTTTTACTTAATCGCCTTTTTATTTTTTACATTTTTATTTAGTTACATTTTTAATTAATATTTTTTACTTTTTCTTTTTAACTATTTAAAAAAAAAACTCGCTCCGTCCCCGCCCACCGCTCCGTCCCCGCCCACCGCTCCGTCCCCGCCCCCCGGGCGATACGAATTCCACACCCCTGAATACTGAGTGTTCCTCTTCATTCATACATTGTGGATATAGTATGAGTTACTATGTACACACTCATGAATGAATAGGAAGTGATTTAGATCACTTCCTATTCATTCATTACTGGGATAAAGTAACTCACCCTATGTCCAGTTATTTACAAACATTCAGTGATCACTGATCGCTGAATGTTTGTATACCGTTCTCCATCCTGGATCGGCTGCCACAGGATGCTGAGCCAGCGATTGGGGGAGGAGAGCTCGATCTCATTTGACAGCTGACTCCACCCCCTCACCACCAGCTTGGCCTCTTGTGACAGCTGTCTTCAAGCCCAACAACGCTCTCCATCCTGATTGGTCACATGAGGTAGAGCGGGGTGGTGCAGGAGGAGAGCTCAACCTCCTGTGACATAGATGATGATCGCGCTCTCCTCCTCACCCCGCTCGGCCAGACAGTTTCTCTCCTCCTCGCTGGACGCTGCAATGTGTCAGAGGGGACACAGAGCAGCGCCCAGCAGGGAGGACAGAAACTATGGATGCGCCGCAATTTCTTCCCAAAGATGGCACTTTCGCCATTTTGCCTAAAGTGCCATTTTCGTCCGATATGTTTCGGAGGCCAAAATTTCAGTGCATCTCTAGTTAAAAACACTAGTTCCGAGTAATCCTCAACTTTTGTTTACAAGTTCTTCCCTTAAAGCTGAACACCAGGTATAAATTATTATGCATACTTACCTTGTTCCAGCTTGGCCCAATGTAAGTATGCTTTTGCCACACCTGATTGGCCCGTGGGTGTCCTGTAAAGCTGAAGCTACCAAAGTGCTGACAGCAATCTTCTGGGACTTTTAATTTTGCTTCCCTTCTGTTTTGGAAACACAGGGTCTCGCTTACTTAGCACAGCGGCCATTTAAAGAACGTCTAGTATTTTTAGCAGTGAATAGAATTTGTTCTATGACTGGGTGAGGGGCGGTAATGTCACGATCCACCCCTTTTCCAATCAGAGACATCCTTGCATCGATTGATAAAAATACTAGGCGTTCTCTGAATGGCCGCTGTGCTCAGTGAGCAGCCCCCTGTCTTTTCAGAGCAGAGAAAAAGCTACGCAGCACAGCACCATACAGGACCACGGAAGATTGCTCTCAGCACTTTAGTAGCTCCAGCTTTACAGGATCCCCACGGGCCGATCAGGTATGGCATATGAATACTTACATTGGCTCAAGCTGGAACAATGTAAGTATGCAGATTAATATATAGCTGGAGTTCAACGTGCAGCATAATAACTGTCTCAACAAACACTTTCACTTTCTCCTTTCCATATTCCGTTCCACTTGAACATTGTTAACAGCATTTTTTAACTAGCTAACTCCGGGAACAGTGAGTGACACACACAGATGCACGTTGATACAGAGAATGCTCTGGAGAAGATGTAAGTGAGAGGAGAGGATAAGTAATTTAGGAGTGGAAAATCTCTGCAACAGACACAGTACTGAACGGCTGGTTAACAGATACTGCTACCAATATTTAAGAGGAGCGGAACGTGGAAAGGAAAAAGTGAAAGTGATTGCTGAGACAGATATTATTCTGAAGGAGAAACAGAAGTTGAGGATTCTTTGGAATTAGTGTTTTAAGCAATTGCTGAGACTCTGACACTGGAGGAATGGGTGGCCTAAGGACATTCGGCCAGAAGAGAAAAATAATACCCTACGGACATTCAACATTTCCCCATTCTCACAAAATCTGTTTAGTGCGCACGAATGTACTTTCGCTGGACAAATACCTATGCAATTTTTTTAAAAGGGTAGAGCTCCAAGAGTTAGAAAGCTTCTAGGTGGCAAGATCCTAAAAAGGTATATCCTCTACAACAGGGGTGCCCACAATTTTTTGTGTTAAGGTCTACTTTTCAAATGAAGAGCTACATGAGATCTACCAACGAAAAAAAAATCCTCCCTCGCTCTCTCTCTCCTGGCTGTCTCTCCTTGCTCATCCACCTGGCTGTCTCTCCTCTTTCTCCTGGCTGCCTTTCCGCGCTCTCTCTCCTGGCCGTCTCTCCTCGCTCTCTCTCCTGGCTGTCTTTCATCGCTCTCTTTCCTGGCTGTCTCTCCTCGCTATCTCTCCTGGCTGTCTCTCCTCGCTCTCTCTCCTGTCTGTCTTTCCTCGCTCTCTCTCCTGGCTGCCTCTCACTCTATCCCCTGGCTGTCTTTCCTTGCTCTCTCTCCTGGCTGTCTTTCCTTGCTCTCTCTCCTGGCTGTCATTCGTTTTCTCCCCTGGCTGTCCTCTCTCTCCTGGCTGTCTCTCCTTGCTCTCTCTCCTGTCTGTCTCTCCCCGCTCTCTCTCCTGGCTCACCTTGCTGTATTTTGCAAACAGTGCAGTGCAACAGGCTGAGTAAACTAATATTCTTTGATGTAATATATAGCACTTCAACCACCAGTGTCCACCAGAAAGGTGTCAGGGAGCTTGGCTCAGCAGACTCAGGCTAATAGGTAATCATGTGTGCACAGCTAAATAAATAGACCAAAATGGAATAAAGGGGCCGCCATTCACACCCTTCCTGATCTACCAGCATCAGCTTTGAGAGCTACTGGTAGATCATGATCTACCTAATGGGCACCCCTGCTCTACAACAACACCCCTCCCTGTAAAAAAAAGTATACATGTGAAATAATATAATAATACAGCATTGTAACACTTACCAGTCTTGTGCTTCTAGCCATTGAGCCAGATACTGCCTTATCTCCATGGGGAAGCTGTCATCATACAACTGATGGACTTGTTCCAAAAATTTGGAATCAATTTGCTGTAAATCATACCACTGTGCCATCCTGAATAACAACATGAAATCATAGCAGTCATTTGCATTCCTAATTCATCCTAATAATGACAGGAAACATAGTCACTCAACGGTTTGTAAAAGACTATTCTAGATGTCTTTATCTTTTCTAAAAATGGAAGACCTATTTAAAGCAGAACATGACAATGCAAGGACCAACCGGTCCGGTAACATAGTTACATAGTATTTGAGGTTGAATAAAGACATTAGTCCATCAAGTCCGACCTATTAGGATCTCATTCTAGGAGTACCTGTACCCCTGTCTATGACGGTCCCTTAAGAAATTGTCCAAAAGTTTCTTGAACAATTCCACATTATTTGCTGAAATCACCGCCTGTGGCAGTGAGTTCCAGACCGGTTACCCTCGCAGCTACCTCTACAACCCCCCATATAAAAAGCAGTTAAAGTGACACTAAACTTAGGGGTTAAATCCTAAAAATGCATTCAAGTACCCTAACAATTAACAAAAATGTACCTTATTTGTGTATCACTAAGCTGTACGTCCTTAAATCATCTCTGAATTCCTGCTGACACTGTCCTTCCTTCTGGAGGGTGATTACTTTTGTTCCCCATGGTCCCTGTGTGTGTTGTAAAGTAGTCACCGCTCCAAGCTCACTCCTGTCTCCAGCAGCCATCCATCTACTAGCTTGGAGAAGGAAGGAGGGGAGAGCAGGGAGCTGGGAACTGGCTTGCTTTGCTGTGTCTGTGACATACACAGCTTACCCTGTAAGGAAAAGGAGCCACCCTAAAACAGGATATCAGGGCCAGTGTTTAGGAGACCAGTTGATTCTGCAGGAAACTCAAGAAGCAGCATCCATTGTAACTGATTTAATCAGCACTTGAAAATACTTAAAAAAACCTTTTGACTTTAATGTCACTTTATCAATTTTGAGACAATGAACTGGAAAGGCTTTTAAAGGAGAACTATGGGGGTTAAGGCTTTTCCCCATAGTTCTCCTTAGGGTAACGGGAGGACACAAACTAGCGTCCTCCCGTCACCCTAGGCTCAGCATACCGCGAGCTGTAGCCGCAGTTGAAGCGAATCCCGACAATTGTCCTGGGATCCGCCCAGCTGCGTGACTGACAGCTGGCTCTGCCTTCCCCTGTCACGGCAGAGAGCCGTGACAGGTTCGAGAGGTGAGCGAACGCCGGTATGTGTTCGCTCACCTCCCGATCTACTGAGCTGACCTGTGACAGTCTCATTGTCACAGGTCGGCTAGAACTATGAGGTGAGTGAAAAGCACTCATCTCATAGTTCTCCTTTAAGGTGCACTCTTGTTCCTTGTCTTGCACTTTATCAACTGTATTAACCTTTGTAGTGTGGCTGGCTGTCCCCGCACTGCAAGGGTTAACCGCTCCTTTTTTGTATAGGGTCAATTGACGAAAAATTATACTCACCCGATTCTCTAAATTGGCTGGCTCTTACATCCGGTCCCTGGAGCCCCTCTCCCCCTCCACTGCATCGTCTAAGGTCCCTGAGTAATCATGTTCTATACACAGTGCATAGGATGTGAGGACACCGAGGAACATTCCATCACTGCAGAGGGGGGCAGGTTGGAGGGAGTGCTGTTGGCTTCGAGGATCGGGTGAGTATAATTTTTTTTTTTTACCTAGACAAAAACGAGCAGTTAACCCTTTCAGTAATGGGGTAGGCCCACTGCAAGGGTTTATAATATTTGTGTAAAAAAAGGTGCATCGTTGCAGTCATATTTGAGAAAACCGGCTTGCTCGACGGGGGACGTGTCCTGTCCGTGATGGCGGCCGGCTGCACTGAATGATAGTGTGAGCTCCACACTCCACGCCACCCGCCCGCACAGGAAATATACAAACCCCCGAAGACTTACCAGGCATATCCCTAAGTCTAGCGAGAGATGAATCGCAAGAAACTCGGCAAGCAGGGAGCGCCGAAGGCCCCTACCACCGGCTCAATCCAGCGCTACATGGCTTCTGAGTCACTGAATCGGTCGCAGGACTCCTCGGCTCGCACCAGTCTCTCCCCCAGACAATCCCCACGGCAGAGGACGGCGGACTCTCCCATCTGCGGACCAGAGCAGACCACAAAAAATGAACTGACAGGAATGTTTACACAGTTAGAGCAATCCTTGAAGGGGCAAATAGAGACGCTGAAAGATGAGATGACGCAGCTGCTGTACCGAGTGGAAGAGGGAGAGACTCGACTAGATAGCCACTCAGCGGCGATAAGGACACTACAGGCACAGATACAAGTGTTGAGCCGAGAGCAACGCTCCACCGCATATCGCCTGGAGGACCAAGAGAACAGGGGACGCAGGAACAACTTGCGGGTTCGAGGCTTACCTGAGGTAACAACAGACCCAGAATTGGCTGAGACACTTAAGAAAATATTTAATAAAATCCTGGGTCGAGCATTATCTTCCCCGCTGGTGTTGGACCGTGTACATCGTGTCCCGCGACCACGCAATATGGCACCGGAGACACCACGGGATGTCATATGCCGTTTTCATTATTGTGTGGATAAAGAGAGTATTATGCAGAGACTACGGGACAATCACCAACGGAATATGAAGGTTACCTGCATTCAGATATTTCCAGACCTAGCCCGGGAGACTTTAGCACGACGCAGGGCCCTGCGCCCGCTCTTGGAGATTCTTCAAGCAGCAGGGGTTAACTATAGATGGGGTTTCCCGTCTTGTTTAATGGCACGCAAAGATGGGAGAACTGCAATTTTGCGGGTCCCAGAAGAACTAACACAATTCTGTGAGATGCTATCTATTAAAACACCGCAATTGCCGGGATGGCAGGAGTTAATACCAGATATTAAACGTCTTCCGAGCAATGACTGGTCAGCAGCAGGGAGCTCTCTACAGCACGCTGATCGATTAACTAGAAGGCCTCCTACCCTTAAAAAGACTGGGTGAGCAAATACGGTATGTGCTAAAACGCTATATAAAGGGAGCATTGCAAAGCATGTTATTAGACCATCTGTATTTAAATACACAGAAATAGACGAGGAAGAAAGTGACAGCCTGGTATAGGTAGACAGCCTAGGGGGTAAACTAGGCGAGAAGTTGGATTGATTTATACAATATCTTTTTCCCCTGGTTGTATGTGGTTATATCTCCCCCTGTATTAATTTTCAATGTTATTTTGTGGGAAATAATGAAAGTTTTATGACAGACCGCCCTCAGCGCACCCCCCACCTGAACGGGGGGAGCGCATGGGGTGAGAGTCTAAATTGTGTGGGTAGGGTGTCCTGTAGACAGGGGAGTGGAATTTCCACCCGTCCAACCCTGGATACAGGAGCGTGTGACATAGCCCACGACACGGCATCTCTCAAATTTATAGGATTCTGGTACATTCTCAACCTAACCTATTCCCACGATATCTGAAGCACAGGGAACAAGAACTGGAGACAACCTTGACGGACGCGGAGAAACAAAAAATTCTAAGTCGCAATGTAAATTCGTCCATAAACACGTTAGTGAACGACACAATGTTCCGTTTTATAGCTAGTTTGTTTTTTCTCTTTTCTTTCTTGTATGTAAGAAATAAGGTAAATGTAAATCAGATACGTTGTACTGTATAAAATACTAATAAAATCGAATAATTAAAAAATATTTGAGAAAACCCCTCTATATGTTTATGTGTTCCCCTTTACACAGCATAACGAGAAATCATTTTTTAAAAACATATTTCTTCCCTTTTTTTTTTAGTTCATTAACATACAATGCAGAACTCAAGCCCTGACATCTTTAACCCTTTGTTAGCACAGTCACTGTTCAAATCTACTTTACCGCTGATAATGAGATCTGGCAGCACAGTACAGACAGGGTTAATGCGCCTAACATATCAACATGCAATATGAGAAGGTGTGCGGCACTGTATGCGTCCCTGCACTGCATGGATGTGAATGCAGACGTACGGATAGGTTTACAGTTTTCTTGCACTTTTGGTGCACGTTTCTCATGCAGGTTGATGCATTTTTCATGCATTGTTTATGCATTTTTCATGCATTGTGTTTTTCGTGCAATAAAAAAGGGACATGCGGAGAAAAAGATACATTCATGCACCAAAAAATCCCCGCTACTATTGTCCCAGACTCACAGCAGTACAACGCACAAGCATGTACGGACCCTATAGAAAACAATGGTAATCCTCTTGGGTGCTGTCATGCATCCCCCAATCATGCATTCAATTCCACAGGTGTTAATAATGGAAAACAGATCAGGACAAACTGCAACCTCTGTGTCCACCAGCAATTGAAATCTGTAAACCTTCTACATAAAAAGCTGAAATAAGATGAGAAGTAAAGAAACGTGATCATTATGACAAGTCAGAAAACATCTTCCTAGCTATCAGATCTCCATAGAATACTTCATCCCCCCGCCCTCCAGATGTGTTATCACCTACATCTAATTGACAGGTACAGTGTGATTATCCCAATCAGGGTGACAACACGGCACAGGTATAAAAAGATCCCAGAGATGTGAGTCCAGCAGTGTCACGTCAAGGAGGAAGAAGAATGGTTACGTAAACATAGTCATATAGACACAGAGAGGCTGCCGGGTTTGTACTTGTTTCAGCTTACCTGCCAGCTCGGAGTCTCCTCTACTAGTGCAGACCACAGGCACAGAGCACGGCCATATGATTCGTCTAGTTTCCTTTTCCTGGAAACCAGCGATTTACAGGCAGAGCCATCCACGAAACCGAAAGTGAGGGACAGCCAATCAGCGCACAGCTCCGCCCCCTGTGTGCCGCCGCTGTGATAACACATCGCCTCCCTCCCGCCACTGTACTTTAGATCTGGTGATTATTACCTCCAGCAGTACATACAATGCAACAGAAGTACCTGGAGAATAGATATCAGCATGGCAATATGGTGCACAATACATAGATAGAAGCATGACAATATGGTGCACAATACATAGAAGCATGACAATATGGTGCACAATACATAGAATCATCACAATATGGTGCACAATACATAGAATCATGACAATATGGTGCACAATACATA